AATCCAGTAAACCAAACAGGGACAATGCAAGGCTTCTTTAGTCATCTCTCTCATAAGAAAGTATTCACTGTAGCCCATGCTACCAACAGTTCACTTTTTTCTACCTGTGTATTTCCCATCTGCCTATGAGACAACATACCCCACAACAACCAAGCAGTGTGGAAGCTCGTTCAAAAACCTCTAATTATTTATCATTTGTATTACAATAGTGTAGAGAGAGATCTTGACAACTATCAGGACCCACTTGCACTAGGCACTTGGCAAACACCAGTAAAAATAACCCCTCCTGCCGCAAAGAGCATGCAGTAGCTAGACAATGTATGAACATGGGAAAAAACAGAGGAAGTAACTTGTCCACATTCACACAGCATCTCAGTGACTGAGCCAGGAATAAATCCAAATCTAGTACCCTGTCTAATGTACCATGCTGTTTCTGCATCTCCCTACAAAGTTATACAAAGCAGATGAAAATCATTAGTGACCAACAACCTCAATCTTTAAGGGTTTGGAATTATTATTCTCCTATTGCCACATGAAAAACCAAGAAATGCCCTTAGTGGGGTGTGGGGTGACCCCAGTAGTAGAGGATGTGGAATTATGAACTTTTAGGGTATCAAAAGTAAGACCATCAGGAACATCGACTAACTCAGGGGATCTCAAAATTCATGCCATCATGACTATCTTCTGACAATAAAATTCCTGTGTGACCACAGGCACGGGGGCTAATGCCTCACCCACATCACCACCACAGGTCCGGGGGAGGAGAAGAGAGGGCTGAGGTAGTTAAAATTAAAGCCCAAAGGCTTCTACCCCAGCAGAGGGCCAGTAACCTAGCCCTTCCATCAAGAGTTGAAACTTAAAGCCTTCAAGCTTTGGCTTTCAGCTTTGGTCCCAAGCCCCTACAAATCTCAGTGTTCTCTCTCTACACTATGGAAGCAGGCAGCAGTGTGTGCTGCTTTCTAATGTAGATGTTTCTCCTTGCTGTTTTTAATGTACAGTCAGCATGAAGGCTTGTGCTGTTACTCTATATGTCAGCTCTTGTCAAATACGTCCAACTGTCCAAACTCTCCTTGCATACTAATACATAACCTGATGTTCACCACACGCTGTGAAAATAAAGTCCCCAATCAATGCATTCACCTTGTTATACAGATGGTGAAAAGTGAAAAAAAATGACAAATGTCACCTCCAAACATTAGAATATAGCTATTCTTATTATAGAAGATACTACCAAGAAATTATGTATATCCCCATTGTAGGAAAAGGTGACACCATCTTGTATTCTGTTTGATCTTGTCTCTAGGACAGTTACACTAATTGGATTGATATCATTAAGAACCTGTTTTTATTTTACATTTTTAATTTGATCAGAATTGTTCCAAAACCTGACTACCACATGAAAATGCACTGATTGCCCTAGTATCATCAACTTAGTTTTATGTATCATGTCTCTTTTTTAAAAAAACCATGAGCTAATTGTTTCTGGTCATGCAGGTCTGCAGAAGTGCAGTTGTCCTAATTATTACCGGGCATGCACACCAAAATAGTCACAGCAACTTTGCTATAGAGCATATTCCCCAAATACAGATGGATTTGATAAGGTGCCCCTTTTCAAACCAGCTGTGGGTCTAACTCAGTGTTTCTCAACCAATGGTACAAGTACCCTTAAGGGTGCTTGAGAGAAGACTGGAGGAGTAGTATGTCATCACAACTGAAATTTGGAGAAAACTGAATTTTTGTTTTAAGTTTTACAGCATTTAATTATTTTTGTACTTTTTACACCCAAAAATTTCATCACCCGCCCGGCTACCATTAAGTTGTTTAAACATGTGTTGCAATGGTAGAAAAAAAGTTTGTGTGTCTCTGAAAACTGTAGATACTGGGGGTAGTTATAATTTTTAAAGGGGGTACTTGATAAAAAAAAAGTTGGTCTAACTAATTGTAACCTACTTTCTGCTCAGCTAACCACTGAACCCCAATCTCCGAGCCTACAGTGCACTAGATCACTTCGGTAACACATTACTGGTTCTCGGCGTGTGTTTGCTTGGATGGTGTGTGCTTTTGGAGACAGAAACGCGGTGCCCACTTAGGAACAGGCATACACCCTTGAAGGCAGAGCTTTGAACCCTTCCGTTCTCTTAGAACTAGAAGCTGTTACAACGGCCTTAGTCTTGTGGGCACCGGAGTAGCCTCCAAGTATCCGGAGGGGGAATGTCCAGCTGATTCTAGCAACAGGGGAAGCGGCCTCCTACGCAAATGCAAACGGGAAGAGCCCCCCGTGGCTAATGCTCAGAGGAGCCTCTACCGCGCTTTAATCTCCACACGCTATCATTAGGAAACCAGAGGCGTACGTTTGTCCACAAGATAAACAACACAGATCCAGCGGGCACTCAACTAACCTCTATTTTAACTGTCCAAAAAAAAACCCCACGCAAGGGCTCACAGTGCGTCTGGGTCGCCTCATTTCTCACCCTGGATCGGGGAGGAGAAGTTGAGCTGCGCAAACCCGGCTCTCTGCGGCCTACCCAACGGGCCGGGCTCGCTCAGGCCGGCGTGCTGGGAGGAGAGGGGGCGAGGAGAGAGGCGAAACCTGCCTGCTCGCCAGCCGAGGTGCGACTTGCTGGAGCAGCCCCGCGCGGAACGCGCAGCGTTCTCCCCACATCACAGGGCTGGAGGGCTCCTGTGGGCTTCTCCAGCAGAGTTGATTTCGCCTTTGCTGCGCTGTGGGTCACCTCCTGATCCTGTCCCTTTCTGACTGCAATAGGGGCCACCGCCCCGCTCTCGCTCTGCCTTCAGCGAGTCCACGGTAGGCGGCGGATCAGCTGAACTGGGGACGGACGGGCACAGGGTAGGGACAGGGCATTATTTTGCCCCAGCAAATTCTCATGGTCACAGATGAGCGCTCAGAAGCTCTTCGAGCTCTAAATAAAGCCTGCCTTGCTCGCCTTGTATTCCCCCTCCGCAGTTGCCTTAGTATTATTATTATACTTCTATAGCGTTTGCATTCGGACCTTATAATTATGTCACACAGCAAGGGAAACCGCCAGCATCCCAGCATCTGGTGTGTGGTTGAAAACTTTTGTTTCAAGATGTGAACTATTTATAGAAGGAAAACTTTGTAGGCTAGTAATTTCCTACGGTTTTGAGAAAATCTGGCTACGCTCATATTAAAAGGGTTTTTTTATTTATTTATTATAACTTTTGACCTTCTAGAAGAGAAACCAATGCTGGGTTTTATATAAGCAAATGGTTGCCTGCTCGTAGACATGCCCAGCATAGGGAAAACAGAGCGCTTTTACGCTATTTGGTTTAATCAATAGTAGCCAACTAAATTAAACCGAACATAGGTCCATAAATCAAGCGTCTGTAAAAATCAGAAGCCAAGGCATATGCATTTCATTAAAAATTAAGAGTGCAGAAACGGACATGTTTAGTTTCTTTTGCTGGGGGTGTTTATGCTTTCTTCCCTTGCGTGGGGGTGGGTTATGGGTTTTTTCATGGGCTACAAGAGGTATTTTGGGGGGTGATTACGTGTGTGTAACTAGAACGAGGGCAAACATATTACAGTGATATATGTACACACAATGCAAAAGGCAAGCGTTAAAATCTATACTCGTGTCATCATAAAAACTAGACATTGGTGGGGACCCCCGTACAGTTGAAGTAAGCGTGAAACAGCAGTCCTAAACCAGGTTTTCCTTATTAGGCGAAGGTGTGGGTTGAAGGTATCTCTTGAGCGGATTTGGTAACGGCTTTGGCAAACCCCGCAGCCTCCCTGAACCACGGAACCAGGTAACCCTGGCAGCTGCCTAGTGAAACGCGCCTACGTCGTCTTTCATGTCCCCCACCCATCCACGGGCCCGATCTAACAGTCTTTGCCCCCGACGTGCCAACCTTCAGTGCAGTCAGAGGAGTTTAGGGGGCGCAGGGAATGTAGGAAGATCGGCCCCTAAACCTGGCCTCGGCTACTCCTGTTCTCCGCATTACACTTGGTCAGCTCTCAGGTGGCCCTTGACAGATCAGGCACCTGACAGTCTTTGCCCTCATCCAGGGCGCAATTCGTGTCCAGCCCCTTCCACGTGTGAGCCACCTGCGGACTGACTCTCCCGCGGACAGGAAAGCCACGAGGTCCTGCGCTTGGTTTTGCCAGTCGGAAACACCTGTCGCTCTAACACTAGGCACAGCCAGCCAACCTGACTGGAGACCTCTAGCAACACCCGAGCCGGCACTCACTCCAGAGTTAACGTGGAGCCAGCCAAGAAAGCACGTATGTGATTATAGGGGTTTTATTTAAAGACCCAAACTAATGCCAATCCCACACACCCTTCCCCTCCCCCCTTTCCCCGGCCACGAGAAAGATGCTGGAGCCAGTTCTAACTCCTAAGTCCGATCAGCGAGAAGTCATTTGGAAAAAAAAAAGTCTCCAGTTGTAGCAACGTACCGAAGGGTGCATTTGCCCAACCTAACTCCCCCCCCCCAAAAAAAATTTTTTTGGTGACTCCTGCTTTAGTCTATACAGATGTCCCGGACATGTCTGTCTGTCTGTCTGTCTCGATAGATAGCTAGATAGATTAGATGAACATACATAAATATTACCTTCCCGGAGGGCTGTGCAATGCCTCTGGGAAAAGCTGTACCCCAGGGCCTTGCCTCCTGGGAGATCAGGTGTGTTTGCCCATCATCCGATGGGTGATAAAATGTCACCTTCCCACGGTAACGTAAAACACGCGGAGGCAGAATAAGCGGGGATGGGGGGGGGTTAGGTGCTCTGCTGGGTCTCAGCTAAAGCCGCATCCCCTCGCTGGGGAGAAATGATCAACCCGTGTCTACAGCCACCTTGCTGCGCACGCCCCCCCCGACCGATTTACAACATCAGCATCATCACACATTTCACAGAACCGCCACAATGCTCTGTATCCCAGCTCCCTCCTGTCAAACTGCCCCGAGGTAGCTACCGGGGTCATTTTAAAGAGTATGAAAAAAAAATCTGGATCACTTACAGGTAACTCCCACTGGTAAGGATGAGGAAAATCTGAGGGTAATACACTGAGAGTAAAACACTGCGAGATGAAAAAAGGAGCATGGCTGAATCCCGTTTATACTCTTGGCGTTCGCTTCCTTGGTTATTCCTTTCTGGCCCCCCAAACCGTTATTTCCCACCCGTTTTGGTGTCAGCTGTGGCCTTTTTTTGCTGGAAATCTGAGTTGGCATCCAGTCCCTTGGGCGTGGGGGGGCTTGTTTGTTTGTTTGTTTGGGTTGAATTGTTGTGCCTAGTTTTCCCTTGGTGCTAATGCTGCTCCCTGTGCAGCGTATATGTTGCTGTTGCTGCTGCTGCTGCCTCTGGCTCTGGAATGCTGCCTGTCATGTCTCAGTGGTTGGAAGCTGTTAGAGAGCGGGTTCTCTTGTTGGAATGATGATGGTTTAAGGGATTTGGATGGCAGAAAGTGCCTCTCTCTCTCTCCTCTCTAACTCTCCTGAGACTCCACGCTGCCATTGGGCAGTCAGTCACTGCAATCCGCCTCCTTTTTTTTTTGTTAAAGGGGAGGATGACAATGGAAAGACACTGATCTAGCCAAAGCTCCGCATTCTAGCTGCCGGCACTGCCTGAGACCCAAAGTGTAGAGGATTCCGAAGGGACTGGACAGTTACACACTCAAAAATTAGCCTGAATACATTGTTTTATCATAGAAGGCTGCCCCCATGCACCTGAAACTGTGGCGGGGGGAGCTGGTGGAGGGGA